TCAACCCTTTATTTTTTTTAAATTACTTCCCCCTTTGTTTGTTTTATATTTGGATTCTCCTTTTTGTTCTGATTTCAAAAATGTATAATACCTTTGACTTGAAGTGATTAGTTTATCAGATAGACAATTTTCCTGTTAACAAGACAGTATCTCCCTCACCTTAATTGACTCTAACAAAATAGGTTGTAGCATAATTTAAATTCTTTAAATATTTAATCGTACTATTTGTAGTACCTTTAAAAACCAAGAAACAAAAAAATTCACTTTTTATTAAAGTTTTATCAAAGGTTAAGGATAACCTTTCCAAAGATTTGGCTGTATTTCAACATGATGGAGCTTCTCCACACTTTGCTTTACCTGTGCGATAATTTTTAAACGAAACGTTTCCCGGTCCTTGGATAGGTAAAAGACGACAGATGAACGATTGGCCATCTAGGTCACCGGATTGAACACCCCTAGACTTCTTCTTATGGGAGTATTTAAAATCAAAAATTATGCTACTTAACAAGAATTTCTAAATGATTTACAACAAAGAATAGAGGATGAATTTCGACAATTAAATGCAGACGTGTTAAACAATGTCAGAGAAGAATTTCAAAAATAGATTGTACTATTGTATGGAAGTGAATGGCAGTCATTTTGAACAATTATTGTAAACATTTTTAGTAGTGAAATGTTTGTTCTAAATGTGTGTAATAAAACTGTTAAAAAATAATTTTTTTTCAATCCAATTTTCTTGCTTTTGTATTTACTTTTCTCATAAACTAATCACTTCAAGTATCATGTATTATACATTTCTGAAATCAGTACAAAAAGGAGAATCCAAATATAAAATAAAAAAAGGGGGAAGTAATTTAAAAAAATAAACGGTTGATACAGGGGGTGAGGGGTGCATTTTACAGCAACCTTAAATATGATAATATGCCTCCCCCTTCAGATATTAATTAAAGTGTTTTTGCGTTTTTTCCAAAAAATTAGAGGTTCAAAAGTTATTTAAGGTGGATAGTTTTATCTGAAAAGCACTGTATATATATATATATATATATATATATATATATATATATATATATATATACATATATACCGGGTGGTGAATCGTCAAACGGACCATAGGAAACTCAATGAGAAATTTTAAATTGTTGAATTGCTGCTTCCCTAATTATTTTAGATCAAAAGTCATAAAAAACTATTTGTAGAGGACTAAAATCTGAATTAAAAACAAATGTTAAAACCGTTCTACGACTGAAATGTACTTAAAAATTTTGCAAAAATATAATACATTTTTCAGGCCACCCCTAAAAATTAGGCCACACGTAATGCAAGAATATATATTAGGACGTTTGTGTTTTATCATATTTATGTCAGATGTTTGACAATTTGAATTGTCAATTTTTTTATTTTATGATTAAATTATAAACAATGAATTTTACTAAATACTACTACTAATGAACATTATTACTTTGTGAACAATAAATTATATTGATTACAAATCAATCAATATAATGAAATGTACTCAGTTGACGAAAAATCGTTGCATAATGTTGTATTCAGGCAATAGCGCGAACCTTTTCCTGCCACTACCGGATCTTTATTTAACGTAAGATATTCTAATTCACTACAATTTAATTCCATGTTAAGTTAAGTTATACAACAATTCAATGAATTCTAATATACTGTTACTGTGATCTTTATTCCTAATAATAATATATGATAATTTCTAAACATAAAACTATAACAAATGTTATAATTAAACATGAATAAAACATTTTTATTATGGCTTTTTTCTTCTCAACTGAGTACATTTTTTAATCAATTTAATTTTTTTAACAATAAATCACAAAATTTTGGCCATTTAAATCATAGATAAATGTAATATAATTGATTTAAATATTGTCAAATATCAGAAACAATAATACGACAAAACGCAACACGTAATACACATTTTTTCACAGAAAAATGTATTCTATTTAAGCAAAATTTTGGAATACGTTTAAGTCGTAGAATAATTTTAACAGTTGTTTTCGATACATATTTGAGTCCTCTACAAATAGTTTCTCATGACTTTTGGTGTAAAATAATTAGGGAAGCAGGAATTCAACAATTTAGAATTTCCCATTGAGTTTCCTATGGCCCGTTTGACGATTCACCACCCTGTATATCATCGAGCAATAAGACAAAAGAGGGAATGTAAAGGTAGAAGGGGTAAACATATTGATAGACAGGAAGTGCCATTTTGAGAGGCCACTTTAGACAAGGATAGAGAGTCTCTCTCCTTGTTTGACATCAAATTTAGTTGGGTTATGTTATTGTTTGTCCCAAATGTCACATGAAATCTTATTTATATTGAAGTTTTTTAACAATTGTGTCGCATTTTAGACTCTTATCATTAATAATTAATTAAAACTTTCTCGTCTAAGACACATTTTGAAAAATATTATATAGCTACTGTTGATAAGTGTCGAAATATTTAAATTTGGCGCCTTTGCATTTCCGGATGTGTCCGCCATCAGAGGCCACTTTTTTGGTCTCCTTTTTATAACGATTAGATTCCCTCTTTTGTCTTATTGCTCGATGCTGTATATATATATATATATATATATATATATATATATATATATATATATATATATATATGTATATATATGTATATATATATATATATATATATATATATATATATATATAATATATATATATATATATAAATATATATATATATATATATATATATGTATATATATATATAATATATATATACTATATATTATATACATATATATATATATATATATATATATATATATATATATATATATATATATATATATATGCATGTATTAATTATTATTCTCAACAATAACTCTATTTTGTAGATTAATAATTATTGTTGATATCCTCTAGAATAAATCCGACGCTAATAATCGTTTTACTAGGAAAACAAATAATGTTAATTAATCTGACAAAAGATTTTATTATTTCTATCACACTTTTGGAAAGAGCCAACGTAAACGTAAATGATATGATATCGGAAAATGTTAAACGCACTGGAATTTCACAGTGAATCTAGCACTAATATCGGTGTTTAATGAAAAGAGCAATTTGGTGGTATATTGGAAAGCAGCAGTAAATGGCGGAACGATAAGCGGTGATAGCCTCATACTTTCAAATTAAAGAGGATCTGTTCTTTACATCATTCAAGCTTTATAAAATTTAAAATGATGATTTTGCGTTGGCGATTATATTAAGGATAATCAAACATTAATATCCGGTTTAGAAATAAATTAAATTTGAAAATACACATTTTATTTCAAATTTAGATTTAAATTTATGAAGTATAAAATTTAAAATTTTGGTGAAGGTGCACATTAAGCTTAGAAGACAGATAGATAGGTCACATGGGGCGCAATAAAGTATATTTTTGAAGATTATTTGAATACTACCAAATAATACAATATAATGCATAAGGATTTATTCATTGTTAGTTTTATTTCATTGGATACAATATCAAATATCATTTGATAATTATTATATAAACTAAATAATATGTTAAAAAATAATAAAAAAATAATATCATGAATGTGTTGCTTATGTGAGTCCATTTCAAATAGGTAAAAGAAATAATAAATATTATCAAAATATCAATGTTTTGTTTATTTACTAATTTATTACAATTCAATAGACTATTTTTATACCAATTCGTAGGTCTTACTTTGTTTTCTTAAACAGTTTATTAATTTTTTGGAAAAACCACAGAACAGACATGTTATATTGGCATAATTACTGTAATTTATATCATTTATCTTTGTTTATCTTTATAACACAACTCCCTAACATGGGTTTGATTATTTCAGCATTTAATTAACTTTGTATCGACAGACCTGAAGATGCTTTGCATATTGTAGAAAGCGAAACCTGTCGTCTAGATAGTTAAATTAAACTAATTGTGAGTAAGTCTTATTTATTATTTGTTTTACCTATTTAAAAAAATAATAATTGTATTTATATGACACTAGTAAATTGGCCCGTCGCATGCGAAGGGTGATCCAATCAATTGTTATCTACATTCAGTCAAAAAATTTTTAAAATAATAAACTTTTTGCATATAATCTAAATCGCACTGTAAATGAGGATATCGGTCAAGGAGAAATAAAAAATGAAAAAACTATTTTAATCTTTTAATAGAAAAAAAAAACGAAACGTTTTCTATTAAAAGATTGAAATAGTTTTTTCACTTTCACTTTCTTGAACCGTATTATATTTAATATAAAATTAGTATGTCTTGGGTTTAGGTTCAATAAAATATATATTACATGTGGAACTAGATTTTGTTTTCCATAGCAATCAACGTTTCGACAGGAAACGCTTGCCTTTGTCAAGATTCTAAAATGTGCATGTATAAGAACAAACAGATATTGTAAAATATGTATATATATATATATATATATATATATATATATATATATATATATATATTTATATATATTTATATGACTTACCACAACGTAAAATAAGACACAGAGAAAATTCATCAGAAGCTAGAATCATCTTACTAGACACCTAACGGTAGAAAAGGAACAATTATTTATATATGCATGTTTTATTTAAATAACCAATACTTTTATTTCTGCTGTTAAAAATGAAATATAGTTTCTTGAATCTATCTACATAACTAACTATTTCAATTTTAATCCTTTGTAAATCAAAAACTACTATCTTTAGTGCAATAATGCATAAAACTATTACCATTCATGGAATTTCATTGTCTATTTAATTTTAACAAAATAAAATATAGGTTTTTATTTAAAAAAAAACAGATGGATGGTGTCATTACGTCGTCATGGTAAAGTCATTACAGTGGTTATTATCCAAAATAAAAGCAAAACTAAAATTAAAAATTAACCTGTGTTGTATAACATGTAATGAACACAGTGTATAATATTAATAATCATATATACAAATTTTTTATTTAGCAGAGAATTAACATGATATTATTTCTTTAGTGAGCAATGAAGATCCTGGTAGTAACAACGACAGTGACGAAGAAGAAGTAAGTGAAGAAAGTAGTAGTTCCAGTGATTCTGATAATACAACATCAGAAGAAAGTAGTGAAGGTCAGGTAAGTTAAAAGATAGTTTTTATCTACTAATAGGAAGACAGCAAGCTAATAATATTCATAGCGTCACCAAAATCTGACAATAATTTAAGGAATGAGAAGGAGGAATCTTTAAATCCAGATTTATATTATATCCAGAAAATATTTATAGAGAGTTGTTCTTGTTTGCGTAATGCTACTATAAATATGGAAAGATGGGTAGTAGTTGCTATTTATTTTCTTTCAAGATAAGTTATTATTGGAAATTCTTTATTGGATTATCGGTAACTTTTATGCTCTAATCGATCATTTGAACCAAATTTTGACCAAAAAAAAATTGCTCAATTATACTCCAAAAGGCAAAAGAGATATATAAAGGCCTCGAAAAACATGGTTATAATAAATTTGTTAAAACGGGACAGACAAATCCTAATCCCTGTATTCAAGAGGAAGACGATAAACTTATCGTAGGTTATGTCCCAATAATTATGAATCACTCTTTAAAAAATGCTTAACAAGATTGCTCAATTGTGAAAACAAATTCTTTTACCGCTAAAAATGTTATTATTTAATTTTTTTTATTTAATGTTTAATCTAGCTTCATATTTTAGTAACCCTTCTTTGGCATACCGGGTTATAATATCGATTTATTTTTGAAGACCTCATACCTTCCACGCTGTAAGATACGTTAACAATTTCCGTCATATTTTTCGTCATTTTAAAAATCCGTCTTTTTAGTAAATGGGATTTTTACGGAGATTGGAAAACTATTATAACCAACTCTCCTACTTTATCCAGGCTTAGCACTATCAACTACAGTTTGAGCGCTACTTAATCCACAGGCGGACTCCATTTCGTATGCTGGTGTAATTAATGGATAGCTTTTATTTGCGAAATAATTATAAAAAGCTTACAGTTTCTGTCGAGAATTAAATTAAATGTGGCATATAAAAAACAGCGGTGTGTTCAAGTCAATAAACAATGTGGTTTTTTTAACTTTTAGTGTACTAATAGACAAAAAATTATTCTCTTGTGTGTTCAATTTGGATTTCGTTCAGTTGAATAGTGTTTTAAGTAAAAATGAGAAAAACGAATTATTGTGACTAATTGAATTTTAATTTTTTCTGTGCTGTAAATAACTATGCATTTAATGAGTTATTAATCAGAAGAAGATACTTAATTTTTTAATGTTATTCTTCTTCTTCAATTTCCACTCCTATCGGAGATTGGAAATCATTCTGGCAATTATAATTTTATTGGTTACTCGCCTGAACAGTTCAATTGAACTGCATCCAAACCATTCACGGAGATTGCGTAGCCACGAGATTTTACGACTTCCTACGCTTCTTCTACCTTTGATTTTACACTGCATTATATTCCTTAGTAGTTCGTACTTTTTACCTCTCATTATGTGCCCATTACGCGATTACAAAAAAGTTTTCTCATTCTATTAAAGTTGACCGCGCAATTTCAATGCGGCATCTTATTTCTTGTGTCTGATCAGTATCTTCTGTGATTCATGCTCCAAGGTATTTGTACGAAGATATTTGTTCAATTTCTGTATTATCTAGTACTAGCTTAACTTTGATGTTTTGTGCTTTTATAAATACCATGAACTTGGTTTTCTTCAAATTGATTTTTAGTCCATAATCGTTGCAATATATATTTAGTCGTTCAGCAAGGTGTTGCAGTTGTTCTAGTGTTCCTGCCAGAAGGACGGTGTCGTCAGCATATCTTATGTTATTAAGTGGCTCACCGTTTATTATAAGGCTCTCACTGATCTCGGCAATTATGCTGCACTCTGTCAAATGCCTTCTCAAAATCAATGAAACAGGCATATACTTCCTGATTAATATCTAAGTATCTCTGCGAAAGAACACTTACTGCAAACAGTGCATCTCATGTTCCCAGTCCTTTCCTAAATCCCATTTGTGTATTACTTATGCCTTCATTTAATTTCTTATGTATTATATTGTGAATTACTTTTAAAAACAATTTCAAGACATGAGTCATTAAGAATATGGTGCGATGTTCATTGCACTCCTTTGCATTGGCTTTTTTATGATGTTGATTGGAGCCATTCTTTAGGTATTATACCTGTTCTATATATGGTATTGAATAGATTCAAAAGAAGATCAATAGATTCAGTATTCACAATTTTAAGTAATTCGATAGAAACTTCATCAGGCCCGGGAGATTTACCACCTTTAGCTTGTTTCATTGCATATTCAATTTCTTCTCGTATAATGTCAGGCCCAGTATTATCCTTAAATTCTTTTGGTGCTTCTGTTCTCTCTTTGTCTTCAAAAAGTTGTGCTATATATTGTGTCCATCTCTGCATTTTTTGGTTTATATCTGTTATAAGTGCACCCCTTTCATCTCTTAGTTGCCTAGTTTGAAGTGTTTTTCTCATTCCTGTTAACTCTCTAATTCTTTTATGCTTGTTAAAAAAGTCATATTTTTTCTCAATTTCTTCTAGTTCTTGGCACTGCTCATGTAACATTCTCTCCTTAGCTTCCTTTATTCTCTTTTTTATTAATCGATCAGTTTCATTATATTTAATTGGATTTTTTGTTTTGAATGATTTTCTTTCATTCATTAATAGTAGTATTTCTTCAGTCATCCAATCTTTCTGTTTTCTATTCTTTGGTTTTAAGTTTTCATTTGCTGTTTTAATTATTGCTATTTTTATATTTTCCCATTTCTGATCAATGTTACAGCTACTTTTATTCAGTTCTTGGGCATTACGTAGATTTTCAGTAAGAGTTTTTACAGTTTGTTCCTTTGTTTGTGGTTCCCTTAATCTTTTAATAATAATTCTACTTTGTGTGGGTTTTTTAACCAGTTTTAATTTGGTTCGTAATGTAACTAGTATGGTTATTATCGAATGTATAATGCAAAAACAAATTACTTTGCATAATATATGCTATTTATTTTTTTATAAAAATGCAATTAAAAGTGTGTATAAATTTTTGAAGGATTGTTCAACTGGCACCGCCAAATTGACGCACGTCTTTATCCCTGTATCTGGTCCTGTAGCTTTTTGGCTACACAACTTTAGATGACAATTTTAATAGCATAGTGCTTTACACATATCCTATCTAGAAAGGTTGCCTGTAAACTACAACGTCTTTTATTAGTGTTTAGGCTGGCAGCACCATCTATTACAAGAATTAAGAAATATTATTTCAATATGGCCCAAAGTGAACAGCTGTGTGCGTACATGCTACTTGAAAGTGAATAGATATTCCATCATAAAAGTTAGTAAAAACCTTTTTTGTACAATATTTTGACTTTGAATTGAATATAAAGGTTCATTACTGTAGTTTTAAAAAACTATGTAGGTAAAAAGCAAAAAGCAATATTGCCAGTTTATAGCAAGGTTTTTTTGTTGTAGATTTAACAAAGAAAACTATTTTTTATTGTAGATTTTAAGCCAATCATCATCATCATCCAGCCAAATTTTCACATCCATTGTTGGATATAGGCCTCCTCTAAACGTCTCCAGTTCTCTCTATCTCTAGCTGCTGCAATCCAGTTTGTTTCTATTCTCCTTAGGTCGTGTGTCCATCGGGTGGGTGGTCTGCCTCGACTTCGCTTGTCGGCTCTTGGTCTCCACTCCAATAATCTCTTCGTCCATCTTCCGTCTTCCATTCTAGCAACATGTCCAGCCCACCTCCACTTTTGTTTATTGATTCGCAGTATAATATCGTCTACGCCAGTTCGTCGGCGTATCTCCTCATTTATTACGTGATCTTTCAAGGTCAGGCCCAGCATTGATCTCTCCATTCGCCTTTGTGTTATCCTCCGTTACCGTTGGTAACCGGGTAGTTACCGTTGCTAACTACCCATCTTCCTGTCTTTTGATTTCTTTTTCTTTATTCTCCTGAAGAAGCTACATACAATTGTAGCCAAACGTCGAGATGAACACACTTTTGGGTCACTCACAAATGACACGGTCCAAACCCGGAAGACGAATAAACTATAAACCACTATCTTTTAGTTTTATGAATTTTATTTTTATTGCTTATCTTTTGTGGTGCCAAACTGACACTAAAAATCAAATTTCATATTTTTTTATATATTTTAAAACACTTTGCCAGATACAGGATTAACAAGGTGAGGAACTTAGTTAAAATCAGCAGGATTTATAAGTACACACTTTGCCAGAATTAAGATAGTTTATGATGGAAATGGTATCCCAGGCAGTTTTTCTTTATAAAGATGAACACGAAATACTAATTTTAGAAATACTTTATTAACGTTAGTAACTAAAGTATTGACTAGATAAATTAATTCTGACAGTATCTGTAACAAACAGTATCCAAACCGGGCGCCCAATATCCAAAAAACTGTGGCACCGGTACCACAGAATAATAAACAATCAGAATGCCCTCTCTCCATGGAAAATTAAGTACGCGCATCTCCTTCGCGCAGACGTTCCGCCATGTTTTAGAGGGAACCAGTGTTGTTTATGTGGTGTGCATAAAAAAATTAACCCGGTTTAATTGACTTGCGGCAATCATAGACATACTATACAATTATTTTAACAATTTTTAAATATAATAACATAAATATAAATATAATTAAACATAAATATAAACAATTACATAACCTCACAAATCATATGTCTGTGTTATGTGTTTCCTTCTAAAAAATGTCGCGCGTTCTGAAAATCTTCAAAAGCGGCATCAGAGAATGGACATTCTTACCTATTGTTTATTATTCTGTGCCGGTACTATAAACTGTTAATCTTCTACAATATGTGATAAATGTATTTCTATTATATTGAAAGATTTACAACTTACAATAGGTAACGAACTGAAAGAAGCCAAATTTTACTCTCTAAGTATTCATTTATATATCTCACGTAGATCAGCTAAACATCATTATTCGCTATGTTCTTCCAAGCGGTATAGAAGAAAGATTTTTGGGATTTCTACCTATATTTTCTCGAGGTGGTGAAAATTTGGAGAAAGTTCTTTTAGAATTTTTAAATAATTTATATTTAGACATCACTAACT